TACCATTTGATCCTATAAGCATGCCTCTATAGTCACATCATGATATGTTTTTGGTCCTCCCTTGACCTCCTACAGTTCCTTGTTTCAAGTCCACAGTTTCTTATCTGACCTTTGCCAAAAATCCTGTCTCTATCTAGTTCTGTTGATTTTAATCTTGTCTAGGTTAATCTCTGTGTTCCATTATAAGGGCTATTCCAAGGTCACTATTCTACTGCTCTACTGATAAACTACAAGGAAGTGACTGAAGGAGATTATCCTACCCAGTAAAGGTTATGTCCTCCCAGCCCTACTGCTTGCCTTCTCTGGGACTGCCCTGTGTCGGTGGGTCTCCAGGGGTATAGGCATTGGTGCTTTCCCTGGTGGGCAGACCCCTGGGGATGTGGGCCCAACAAGTCCCAAATTTATTGCCAACAGTCTCTTAGTCCAAGTAGTACATGGTATTTCTGTAACACTAGGGGGTTTTACTGATTCATTCCCCTCCCCAGTCCCGTCAATCCCCAACCCCAGTCCCATCAATCCCCAACATCCCCACCTGGGGAAACAACCTTTCTCAGAGAGGTGGCCCTGGTTAGAACACATAGCGCTAAGAAGGGGAGCAAATATATTAAGAACAGTATGCCAGGTCCCTTGAAACATATGCTGTGCAGACGTTTCTTCCCTGCAGCGACTGTGTCAAGCAACAAGGATGGACCGGCTTCCAGCACTCATCTGTCAAATTAATATGACAACACTACCTGCCTCAAGAGGGTATAATAATGATTAAATGAGTAAGCTAAACAGCACAAAGCCTCACATATAGAACAGATTGATAGATTTGAGTTGATATTATCATTTTCTACCTTTTTTTTTTTTTTTTCATTTTCTACCTTTGAGGTCTCAATGCATATTCATTTATTCACTCACTCAAATGAATTGTAATGAATACTTATTGAGGGCCTTCCATGTTTCCGTCATAGTTCTGGACATTGGAAATACAGAAGTGAGCAAGAAAGTCAAGATCTCTGCCCACTTGGAGCATCTATATTTAAGGAAAAGAAATAAGCTTTAATTTAAGGGAAAGAAATAACTATAAAACATATAAAGCAATAAATACAGATTGAGAAAGGTGAAAAGTAAATAGCAAGACATAAGCAATGTGATGAGCCAAAGACAGAGACTGACATGGTAACAGACAGAATTAAAAAGCTCAAGGCCGACAGCAGGAAAGGATTTTCCTGGGAGGCTTACTGCTAGAATCTCCTCGAGTTCCCGAAGAACCTCCAGTAGAATTCCAAATCGAAGTAACAAGAGTGGCCATCCAATCACATTCTTGATTTTAAGAGGTCCCACATGGATTTAGTGTTAGGGGCAAAGCTTGGTGCACTTTATTACTTAGAAACCCTACTCTTTTTGATTTTTGTGGCTGTCTGCCATCTCCACAAGGCCTTAAAATTCTCTTTGGCAGAAGAAAAAAGAATGAATCGAGAGCTATGTAGCTGCCTCTAGAGAGGGAGAGCCGCCCTCTGAGCACCGCAGGTGCCGGAAAGCTGGGACGCGGGGGTTCATGCGCTGACCCCACAGCCATGGTGAAACGGAAGTCCTTTAGCGAGCCAGAAGTCCCCGCGGAAGCAGGGTCCTTTCCAGAACGGTGGCCCCGAGGCTGCTGCCTGGGCAGCGGCGGGAGCATCCTCACTTACATATTAAAATGGCTGTACCTGAAGATGCCATCCCTTCCTTGTCGAAATGCCAATGCGGGATCTGCATGGAAATCTTCATGGAGCCGGTAACACTGCCTTGTAACCACACGCTCTGTGATGCATGCTTCCACTCGACTGTGGAGAAGGGGAACCTATGCTGTCCCTTCTGTCGGCGTCTGGTCTCTTCATGGACCCGGTATCATACTCGAAGAAATTCTCTCATCAATAAGGAACTGTGGGTGAAGTTGTTAATATTAATGCTTAGCTTTCTTGCCAGTTCTTCATCACTTTTTAGCTGTTCTTCCATCTCTCTTCTCCTTTTTTCTGCCTGTCTCTTTTCTTCTTCCTCCTCCTCTGCCAATAAATTCTGTATGTACTCTTCACTGGCTTTGTTTCTTCTTCCTCACTGGCTCGTCGCTCTGCCTCCACCTTGCTTATCTCCTCTTCATATTCTCTTCTCAATTCTCCAGGTTTACTTAACAGATGAACTGGCTGATAGTCATCAACGGTGTCATCTAATTCTTGCCCAGAGGCTCTAAGCTTGCATTCCTTTGGGTAGTGTTTCTGAATTATCTCCCACAGTTCCTTATTGATGAGAGAATTTCTTCGACTATAGTACCGGGTCCACGAAGAGACCCGACGCCGACAGAAGGGACAGCTTAGGTTCCCCTTCTCCGATTGGGAGAAGTTGGAATGGAAGTTCTCTATGCCTTTCGAGCAGAATATGTCCGAGGACATGTAAAGAAACGTGCGATGTGGCCTCCTGTAACCTTGACCAGTAGGTGCAGCGAGTCTATTAAGCAAGCCCGGTTAGCAGGTGAATGGCCTAAACAAGGTCACTGGAAATACACTGATTTCTCTGAGGTCTGTCTTGAACTTGCAAGAAAGGGGCTTGAATTTGAGCCAGACTTAAGTGATATTGTCACAGATAAAGCCATAATTGAGAACCGCAACAAGTGGACCTTTGAGTACAATACAGAAGCGTATTTTAATAAATATCACCAAAGACTTCATCATATAGACAAGTCCCAGGGGTTACAGTGACTGATCCTCGCTCTGTTAAGTGGAGAATTAGATGATATCAAGAAAAGAGTAGAACCTTGCATGACAGGGACATTGTGTACACATGACCTTATTACTGTACTGATGTCAAAAGAGAAAGATTTAAAGGTTAAAGGAAGATATTTCTCGAAACAGTCTTACAGTATTAGATTATATCAAGTTCTTGCAGAATTGAACTTAGAGAAGTTTGTTATGCCTTACTTATGGATGCACTCGATGACTACCTCATCAACTCAATTATCTCATATTCTTGACAAAATATCAGCATACATCACTAGAAAGAACTCGTTCGTGGTGAATCTAGACTACGAATCCTGGTGTAATGCATTTCGTCCTGAGCTACAAGGTCCTCTTTGTGAAGAACTTGATCGGCTTCTTGGGTCTGGATGTTTCAGGTTGGTTCATGGATGCCAGTTCTACTCTCATTATCCAAGACAGATTTAATCCTCCAGCACAAAGGGATAATGGATTACCAAAGGAAGATAATGAAACCTGCTTTCAAGGTGCCCTAACTATGGGAAAAGGAATGCGACAAAAATTGTGGACCATTTTTACATCCAGTCTGGAATTACTTGTACTCGAGGATTTGCACCTTACGGATGAAATAATGGGGCAAGGAGATAACCAGACCATCATTGTATCTACACCTCCGTATAGTTCAAAAAACGCAACCAGAGATTCTCTCTTGGAAAAGCTGAGAGCTAAAGGCAAAGAAGCAGGACTAACCCTTAAGCTGGATGAATGTTGGTCAAGTGATGTACTACACGAATATGGCAAGAAGCTATACTTTAAAGGAGTGCCTGTTCCAAATTTCTTAAAGATCTTTTCAAGACTAGCAGACAGCACTGGGGAAGTATATCCAAACATATATTCAAGGGTAGCATGTTTAAGCTCAAGTTGCCTATCTGCATCTCAAGCTGATTATACCCAGTGGACCTCTGTTATTGCTGGAATCATGGTCTATGTTATAGAAGTATTCATTTTGTTTCCTAGAGAAATAAGTCATGACCCCCAAACAGTTGCAGCTCTTGCCGTGATTGGTTCAATATTAGGGGGGCTTCGGTCACCTGCAGCCTTGTCATCTGTTATGTTTCGAGGGCTAGCAGACTCGCTGACCTTCTAGTTGACATTACTTAAAAACTCAATACCCACTGGTATTTCACCCCAACATCAGGTCACGAAGTTGACAGTACCCTTGTATCCAAGTGCACTTGCACTATGTGCTGATCCAACGTGCCTCAATATTGTCCCGCTTCTCAGGCCTGAGGTTGTACTCAAAACGTGGATAGAAGAATCATTATTTGATATGACTGGATCTTCCAGGATTTTAAAACTTATGCAAATGGATAAAGGTTTCGAAAGGTGAAACACTTGCAAATCACCTGTTTACTATGGAGCCCAAATACCCAAGGTTGATGAGCTACCTGTTTACAAAAAGTAACGTAGCATATGGGCTCTCAATGCTGGATAAGTTTCAGATATCAAGTACTGTCATTGGCATAAGCCAAACCATGTCAATGAAATCTATCACAGAAGAGAATAAAAGGTTCAGGGACCAGCTTGTCAGAAGCATTCTGGCTCCAAACACAAGGGGTGAAGCAGGGGGTCCCTCGGGGGTGAGGACGACGGAGCCCCACCGTGCTAGGGCGTCTGCATGCACGACTCCGGGGACCAGGTTCATTGACACAGATCCATTTTATTGTGGAACTACAGGGGTATATATAGCATGAGGGGACCAATCAGAGGGAGACACGTTGCTATAGGCGACCAATCAGAGGGAGACACGTTGCTATAGGCGACCAATGGCTGAAAGGCTGGGGTACTATGCATGTGGCTCTAGGAGTTAGTTCAGGCGGGCATTGGTACTTCCTGGTGTGCCGAGGAAGCATGTCATGGTGGAGTGTGCTCACACCATTGCAACAGCCACAGCACTGAGACATACTTCCTGAGCTCTACTACAAAGGGGGATAAATATAATGGATTATTGAACTCCTTGCAGTGTGGAAGGAGCAAACAAATTAAGGACTGCAACACGGGGCGCAGAGCTTCATGGGATTACCATGCCATTTGTTGCTGAACAATTCATCATGCAAGAAATTGTGTCTGAAGGAGATGTGTCCAAATCAATTATATTTAGGCGTGACGAAGAATTGTTCCCAAGGCTATGGATGATTAGGGGCTAGAGGCCTCTGTATATAGGGTCAAGAACATTTGTAAAGATTCATAGAGGAGCGGCTTCAGCTTCCAGGCTGCCTGTGGGGCATGTCTTCGAAGAACAGAAAACGGTCCAACCGGAACTCCGACCGGGGTTCGCCCTCGCCCTCCATGGCTCACTCTCGGGCAGGGGCCTCGGCTGCTTGTCCCGAAGCCGGCTTCGCAGCGGCAACAGGGACTCTGGCGGTGATCAACTTCCTAGAAAAGGATGACAAAGTTCCTAAAAAGTTCCAGAATTCCCTTGTTCAGCTCGGAGTTGGCACTATGAAGTCTGCAAATATAACTATTGGCCGACCAGTGCTGCTTACCCGTTTACATGGAAAACGAGAGGTCTGTGTGTCCTGGCCTGTATCAGGATTTCCCGGAGGCAAGGTTGGCCTGAGTGACACAGCACAGAAGAATGCGGGTGTCCAAGTTGGTGATGCCATCCATGTCCAGCCTCTTTTGGGTGCTGTGCTACAGGCTGAGGAAATGGACGTGGCACTCAGTGACAAATGTGGATGTTAATGAAGAACAATCGGCTGGTTGTCTTCTGAGAAAACTAGATGACAAGATTGTTTAACCAGGCAACTTTCTATACATTACATTCTATGGACGACCATGCAGGTTGCAAATATTGCGAGTAAAAGGTGCAGATGGCATGATACTGAGAAGGCTTCAGAGTGACTCTGATACTGCTGCTCAGGGAATGGCCTCAAAACGGTCCAGCATAGAAGCCAGTACCCTCGATATGTCCTTACAGTTAAGCCAGTTGGATCTGGAAGAGCCTCGGGTCCCACCATCAAGCAGTACTCCCTGCAAACCAGTAGATGACAGAAAGATAAATAAAACTGGTGACAGTTTGTCAAATGTCACACAGAGTCCTGGTGGCAGCAGTGGGCTTGGGCCAGAGGAAGTTACAGGTCTTGAATGTAGCTTTGCGTCTGCCAGAGGAGGAAATGAGTACCTTATCAATGAAGAGAGATTCCTAAAGCCAGCCAATCTGGGAGCAAAGTGCAGCACTGATACTTTCTACTTCATTTCTTCAACAACGAGAGTCAATTTTACAAAAATTGGTACAAATTCAAAAGAGCAAGACAACCAGTTCAAAGTAACTTACGATGTGATAGGAGGCTTAAATGGTCAGCTGAAAGCAATTAGAGAAATAATTGAACTTCCTCTCAAGCAGCTTGAACTATTCAAGAGTTACGGAATTCCTCCCCCTAGAGGAGTGTTACTGTATGGCCCTCCAGGTACTGGAAAGACAATGATTGCCAGGGCTATTGCTAATGAAGTTGGAGCCTATGTCTCTGTAATAAATGGTCCTGAAATTATAAGCAAATTCTATGGGGAAACTGAAGCAAGGTTACGTCAGATATTTGTTGAAGCCACTCTGCGGCATCCATCAATTATTTTTATTGATGAGCTGGATGCACTTTGCCCAAAAAGAAGGGGCTCAGAATGAAGTAGAAAAGAGTTGTAGCTTCACTGCTAACACTGATGGATGGTATTGGTTCAGAAGGAAGTGAAGGACAGGTATTAGTTATTGGGGCCACAAATCGTCCTCATGCTTTGGATGCTGCACTCCGCCGACCTGGACGATTTGCTAAAGAGGTTGAGATTGGAGTCCCTAATGCTCAGGGCCGGCTAGATGTACTTCGGAAACTGCTTCGAAAGGCACCGCATGTACTCACGGAAGCCGAGCTGCTACAGTTAGCAAACAATGCACATGGATACGTTGGAGCAGACTTGAAAGCCTTGTGTAGTGAATCAGGTCTCAGTGCCTTCCGGAGAGTCCTGAAGAAACAGCCCAACCTCCCTGACCGCAAGGTGGCTGCGTTGGTGAAGATTACTCTGAATGATTTCTTGCAGGGAATGAATGACGCCCGGCCCAGTGCCACGAGGGAGGTTGCAGTTGATGTCCCAAGTGTATCCTGGTCAGATGTAGGAGGACTGGAAAATATCAAACTGAAATTGAAACAGGCTGTGGAATGGCCCTTGAAACATCCGGAGTCTTTCACCCGAATGGGGATGCAGCCACCTAAAGGAGTTCTTCTGTATGGGCCACCTGGCTGCTCTAAAACGATGATTGCAAAGGCTTTGGCCAATGAAAGTGGACTGAATTTTCTAGCAATAAAGGGGCCTTAATTAATGAATAAATATGTTGGTGAATCTGAAAGAGCCATTAGATCTTCCGTAAAGCGAGAGCGGTGGCTCCTTCATTATTTTCTTTGATGAACTGGATGCCTTAGCAGTTGAAAGGGGCAGTTCTTCAGAGAATGTAGCTGACCGTGTTTTGGCTCAGCTCCTTACGGAAACGGATGGCATTGAACAGTTAAAGGATGTGACTGTTTTGGCAGCTACTAACCGCCCAGATAGGATAGACAAGGCTTTGATGCGTCCTGGAAGAATCGATAGAATCGTGTATGTGCCGTTACCAGATGCAGCAACAAGGAAGGAAATATTTAACCTGCAGTTTCACTCGATGCCCGTCAGTCAGGATGTTGATCTGAATGAACTCATCCTCCAAAGGGACACATATTCTGGAGCAGAGGTCATCGCCGTCTGTAAAGAGGCCGCCCTTCTGGCACTAGAAGAAGGCATTAAAGCCAAATGCATCAGGAAAAAACATTTCACTCAAGCCTTGAGCACTGTCACGCCCAGAATTCCCGAGTCACTGAGACGTTTCCATGAAGATTTTCAAGAGAAGAGTGGGCTTCATACACTCTGAAAAAAACGTACCCCTTCGTTATGCTAAAAATGCTTTCTAGAGAAAATTTGTTTCATTTTAAAATTTTGTGTTGAGAATGTTAAAAAAAGAAATTCTTAAACAAAATGTCTGAAATTTGTTGACTGGAATTAAGGGGCTTCAGTTCTTGTAGACATCTTAAATCATATGTATAAAATGAAAGTCTCAGGACAGAGGTTTAAATCAGTTTTACCTGGAAATGTGTGCTGAGTTTTAAAATGTAAACTTCTAGCTTTTTCACTTTTGACCTGGTTCCTTCATCCCATGAAATGCTTTTCTTACTTCAGAGCCCATTTCAATGCATTCCTAAATGCCAAACCTAGGCATCAGTTTTATACAAGAACAGAGAGAATGCATGTGGATGATGCATGGTGGGAAATATTTACAAATCTTTATTTTTGAAGGCCAAACAATTAAATGGCTAGAAGCACCTGCCAAGCTTATGTGGCCTTGTTTCCAAATACATACTGGTTCTCATTATATTCACACCTGCATTTTTGCTTCAGCCACATTAATCTATACTTATGGCAGTTAAAGAACAAAGAAATAAGAGTCACTTCATATACTGTAATGCCCTTTAAAAATTTAAAAAATTGAAAATATAAGCCCAGTCCAGTCCTAGAGCAGTACGTGGTATTGTTTTTTCATCAAATGCTAGAAATGAATCATATAAAGTGTTCATGTTTTAACTTGTACACATTTTCAGTCACCAATAAAGTTTTCAGTTAAAAGATGGAAGAAAAAAAAAGAATAAAGGAGCAATAACAGGGCTACCAGAAGGCCTCATTGGGAAAATGGCAGAAGATCTCATATCTACCTGCGATTGGATTAAGATTAAAGGTGCTGTTGGCCAACACCTAACAACGCTATTGTCTATACTACTACGTGAAAAGGGAGTTCATGCACCGGAACTCCCAGTTATTATGGGAGGAACACTAACGCACAGGCTTCCCACTGCTTCTGATGACAGAGCAGGCCTTGTGGGAAGCCTAATGTTATTTCTACACATATTGGCTTTACAACTAATTACATGACTGGCTTTGCTAGGTCACAAAAAGACTATACAATTCGCTTCCAGGCGGCCTTCTTACATGGCTTGCATTTACTATCCTCTCAACTCCACGTTGGTGCTCTTGCCAACAAAACTTATTACCTTACTATCAACTGTCCGGGATGCACGAAAGAGATTTTAAAAAAAACTCATTTTCACTATCGAAATCCCCAATTTACAAGGGTATACCACTTGAACATTTTCCAGCTCAAGCAAAGCCAGAACCAATTAGCTGGTACGGTGATCCCGCTGTGGCTGCAGGATTCAAACTCGAGATTGAAATATTCACGTCACTTTATCAAGAAACTTGATTCTCTACTGGGCTCAGGGCAGTCACGCCACCTTGAGAGATTTTCATTGAGTCACCTTGCACCTCTACCAGGACACCTAATAATGATTTCCATAATGATTTCCTTTTGGTATGCTGGTAATCTTCGAAAAAGCCTTGTCAAGCCAGTATCATCGTGCATAAAAGCAGTTTCTCACATACCTACATCGTCTCCAGCGCTTAGATGGGTATGTGATGTTATGTTCTCCTTATCAGAGGGAAACCAAATTTTCAACTTAGCTTCAAAAGTGGGAATACTGGACAAATTGCTACCAGCCGTAGTCCCTATTTAGGCTTGTAGTGGAAGGTGCATTGGACTGCTGAGAAGCAATTGAGGAGTTTCCTTTACACAGCCGAAGATCAAGGCGAGGAGAGACTGAATGGTCAAGGGAGACTGAAGGAAATAGCAGATTAACAGCTCCAGTACAACACCTTCATCAATACCTTGAGTTAATTCGCCAATCTTTGAATATGACTTGTAAACCACGATGGTCCTACAGCATATTAGAGAACAGGGAACGCTTTATAATATCATTGTATGGGTTTGGTTTGCGAATCCCTGTTGTGTCTAATATTTTGTCTATTATTTTGATCCCTGATAACCTCGTAGATTTGTCCTCTTGAATACGCTTGTTGTAAGTATCCTTTGCTGTATTTAAGAAAAAAAAAAGGTATCAATGGAAAGTATTGCCTCAAGGCATGGCTAATAGCCCTACCTTATGCCAGGATTTTGTGACTGCTGCCATACATCCTATAAGGGAAAAATATCCTGTGGCCTATATTATTCATTATATGGATGACATTCTCTTAGCTCATAAAAATGAGATGCTTTTAAATACTATTTATATAGATTTGCAGGATTCCCTGCACTGTGCTGGATTATGCATAGCACCTGAAAAGGTTCAAAGAACATTTCCCTTTTCTTACCTTGGTAGCATTATTGAAGGCCAAAAAATAAGACCTCAGAAAATTCAAATTCGGACTGATACTTTACTTACATTAAATGCCTTCCAAAAATTATCAGGGGACATTAACTGGGTTCGACCCATTTTAAAACTACTGCCGACGTAAGCCCTCTATTTCATGTACTCAGGGGAGCTCCATCTCAGACATCCCCACGCTGTTTGACAGGGGAAGCCAGGACAGCCCTACATAAAGTCGAGGATGCCTTAAATTCAGCACAGCTTACTAGGACTGATTACTCCCTTCCTTTACAGGTTTTAATTTTTCCCACTACACATACAGACCAAATATTATATCAAGTTGATATAAAATCCAGCCAATACTTGATAACCTCTATCTCTCTCCCTTCCTCTCTAGCCACTGGGGTTATTTGGCAAGCTGCTGGAGTCATTGAATGGCTACCCCTGGCTCATTCTCCGACTAAGGTATGAACTCCCTTTCATGATTCAGTGTCGCAGTTGATCGCTCGAGGCCGTCTTCGATTAGGCCAGTTAGTGGGCCAAGACCCTGACCTTATTGTAGTATCGTTTGCACTCAGTGTAAACTTTACAGCCATACAGCAAGACTGGCTCTGGCAACGATCAACAAGTTGGCAAGTTGCACTAATTACTGTGGACAGATTGATAGCCACTATCCAGCAAATAAAGTTTTACAATTTCTTTCAGTTACTACCTTTATTTTCCCAAAGATGACCAAAATTATTGAAACGCTACTATAGGGCATACTAGTTCAGAGGAACTTTTTCATTTATTTTTCAGCCTTCAAAAAAATCATTAGAGAACGACAGTATCCCTGCTTTATTGGTTATATTTGATCCCATTCAAATCTCCCTGGTCCGTTAGCTATAGGCAATGAAACTATTGACCACCTCCTTGCTGTGGTGCAGGAGAATACCCCATTTTCTCTTGACCAGTTCTCCTGCTGCCCTGCGTAAACAATTCCATATTTCTCAGGAGCAAGCTCGTCACATTGTTAAGTAGTGGGATCTGTGTGTAATTCATTGCCCTGTACAATCATTAGGGGTTAATCCTAGGGGTCTTAAACCTAATCAAATCTGGCAAATGGATGTCACCCATGTTCCAGAAGTTGGAAAGCAGAGATGGGTACATGTTACCATAGATACCTGCTCTCGCTTTATTTTTGCGACTTCCCAAACAGGGGAAAGCGCCAAGCACGTAATCAATCATTGCTTGGCAGCCTTTGCTGTACTAGGTTCTCCCTTAGAGCTAGAAACAGACAATGGACCCGCATATGCTAGTTCCACTTTTCAGAAATTTTGTCAACAATATCAAATTTATCATAAAACTGGTATTCCTTATAACCCTCAAGGGCAAGCAATAGTGGAAAGAGCCAATCGTACTCCTAAAATGCAATTACTAAAACAAAAAGGGGGAGACGGATGTTACGTGTCACCTCAAAATAAACTCAGTCATGCTCTATATGTTTTAAACTTTCTGAATTGCGATGCAGAGGGCCGTACAGCAGCTGAAAGGCATCAGGCCTCCAGCACATAGCCTCCGCCGGGTTAGCCCGGTGGAAAGACTTACAAACTGGGCGATGGTTCGGACCAGATCCAGTAATGATGTGGGGAAGAGGCTGTGTGTGTCTTTCCAGAAGGAGCAGTGCAGCCAATTTGGGTGCCAGAACGGTACGTGCGACACCACAATGGACCCAGAGAAGCTCCTTGTCCCTCCGTTCAAGAGACTGAGAGTTGCCCCGATGACAGCAAAGAAGAAGCAAAAGAAAACAGAGGCTACACTAGGGGCCGAGGTGCCAACATGGGGTCAGCCGAAGAAGCTAACAACTGAGGCCCAGCAAATGGCAGAAAAGCAAGGAGTGGAAGCTACTCCTTCAGCCCTGTTCATGGCTGTTAGCATTAGTTAGCTGCCAGTCTTCTATAAAGTCTTGTGCAGCCACAACCGAGGACTCGGAGTAGATAAAAATCAGCAGCAAAAGAAACTTATTTTGAAGAAAATGTTAATGTGTCTGAAGTTTGGTTTCTCTCTTGTTGCTGTATTAGCATTGCTGTGTTTATTGGTTTAAGAAAATAAGCTGTAGAAACAGAGAAATAAGCAGAAATAAGCGGTAGAAATAG